CTTGCAGCAGGCAGGGAGAAAAGCAACAAGATTGGGGGCAGGGGGATAAAGAGTAAGAACAAATGAAGCCTCAAATTCTGTTGCATCTCGACATTTAAAGCATTGGCACAATGCTGATATGTGAAAACCTTGCACAGTGAGGAACATGCTTCTTTGTACAAATGTATATGTGAGAACAAATATCATGATCCACACCATGTGACAATTGAGGTTGAAGCACCATATAGAAGAGCCTTGAAAGATCATGCAAATCAGAGAGACCTGAGTTACAAGGGAATCCTTCAAGATTATTTTCCTAATGCCTTCAGTTCTTTTCTTCAGTGGCCCTGATACCTATCAGAATGCACAATGAGAGGTCTTTATACTGATAATTGATCAGGAATAAGAGAGCCAGCAGAGTCATGATTAATTGTCAGATTGTTGAAATGCCATTTTAAAAGCTGCAAATGGTATGGAAATTTGTGGTGAATTTTAAACCAGTGTACATTTCTTGATCCAAAGCACTTTAGACCTCTTGCGCCAAAGTTGAGAAACATCTCCCTGGCTTCTCTCCTTCAATCAATACCATTAAAATCCTTCAAGAGAATCCTTCTCTGTACAGTTATAAAATATCAATTACATACATTTTCATTACTGATCTGGGCAGATTCATTGGTTGTTTGCTTCTCAGCAAAGGATTGTTGGCATCAGACCAATCCAAGGAAATTACCAAAGAACACTTACTTCAAGCATCCACACACACCCCGTGTGTGTATGTGTGTGTGTGTGTATATATATAGGAAAGGGGTGATAACTCACCTAATATTCCTCATATGAAGCAGCAGTGTTAGACTAACAATGAGTTAGCACTCATTGAATCTGGTCAATAGTGAAAGAAAAACAAAGACAAAGGCTAGAATCTTGTTAGTGACATTAGCAGGTGTGAACATCTATTACATCTGTGTATATCCTTTAATGTGCTTATAGAAGGAAGTATCCAGTACCTCCTTCATACTATGATCCCCAAAGATCCAGGAGGAGTTCATCTTCTTTGTGGGCCAAGCTGTAGAAACACAGCTGGACCCTAGCTGGTTGTCCTCCACTTTCCCCATTAAATGGCAATGGGGCATGTTCCAAAAAGTGAAGATAAGCTGCATGCATGCAGAGAAGGGAAAGAGGCAGAGGCATGCTTGGCTTTATGCATTATTAGCTGTCCTTTAGTCAAACGCTACTCATGGCAACACTATGGATGAGACATCTCCAAGCCCTACTATCCTCCACTGCTCTGCTTAGGTCTTGTAGATTCAGGCCCATGGCCTGCCTAATTGAATCTGGCCATCTGGCATGCAGTCTTCCTCTCTTCCTACAGCCCTTCACCTTTCCTAGCATTACTGGCTTTTCCAATGAGTCATGCTGTTACCTAAATTGCAGGGGGTGCTAGGGAGGCATCCACAAATGGCATTCAATGAGGAAATTAATGTAGCTCAATGGGAGTGAGAAAGTAACATCTAGTTGGGATCTTTTGCATTGTCTAACAGGTCTAAACCCACAAAACCCCACAGGCAGTTTCTAAATTAATGTAGTTTATTTCAAAGCAGGGAATCAACAAACACACAAACACACTCTCTCTCACACACAAGAGCTAATGAATTAAAAGCAGGTTGAATGGGACAGAGAGCAGAAGAATGATTACCATACATTATCAATGCAGAAGCCAGAAGTCCTGGGAAAATTGCAGAGAAAGTGGATTCAGAATCTAGCAATTCTGAAGAGTCTAGGTAAAATAATGGTTTGTAACTTCACTCAAAACTGAAAACAAAGAGCAAAGAGCCCTCCTTTATACCCTTTTCACTTTGTGAACAGATTTTGGGAACATTAAAGGTGGAAATTTACATGGGAGGAAAGAACAAAGCCCTGTGCCATAAAGTGTAGCCGTATTAAACAAAAGAGGTGGCAGATCCGTATGGCCATAAGAGGTGGTAGATGCCAGATACCTCTTTTCCATCACATACCTCTCAATTGATTTACACTTCAAAAGATGCATCTCTCTGCCTTGCAGTGCTCCCTGACTTTGTCCTCCGGATCACTGTGAGACCCTACTATCTTGCCCTAGGAAGCATCTTGAAGTTACATGACTGGCATGCCTTTCAGTATGGAAGTTTGATATCAAGGATCAGTTAGGGTCAGACAGTGGCTTTACAATGCCTTCTTCAAACTGACTTCACATGCAGAATTATCCAAGTACTTTATTACCCCAATATTCTTTAGGAGGAATGACAGGACCAGAACTATGCCAACTATCGTGAACTATGCCAAAACAAACCAAATAAACTTATATATCAACAATATAAGATACTATATTTAGGCAAGAAAAAATGAAATGCACAAATATAGGATGGGTGACACATGGCTTGAGAACAGTATGTGTGAAATAGATCTTAATGATCTACAAGCTAAACATGAGACAACAGTAAACTTCAGAGACATACCCAGATTTGTCTGGAATGTCAGTACGCTAAGGGATCTTGTAGCACCTTTGAGACTGAGTAAAAGAAGTTGTAACATAAGCTTTTGCAGACTTGGTCTACTTTCTCAGATGCAAAGCCAACAGTGTGATGAAGTGGCCAAAAAAGCCAATGCAATTCTAAGTTGCTTCAATAAGAATATAATGTCCAAATTAAGGAATGTAATAAAACTACTCTATTTTGCACTGGTCAGACCTTGCCTGGAATATTTGGCCCAGTTCTGGGCACCACAGTTCAAGAAGAATATTGACAAACTGGAAAGTATTTAGAGGAGTGACTGAGATGGTAAAAAGTCTGGAAACAAGCCCTATAAGAAGTGACTGAGAGAAGTGGGTATGTTTAGCTTGAAGAAGAGAATACATAAAGGCAATATAAAAATCATATTTAAACACCTAAATGAATGTCATGTAGAAGATAGAGTTTGCTTTTTTGCTGTTCCAGAGACTGGAACACAAATCAATGGATTCAAATTACAAGAAAACTGATTAGACCTAAGCATTTGGAAGAACTTTTTGACATCGCAGCTGTTTGAAGTGGAATAGACTGCATTAGATGGTGAAATACTCTCCTCTGCAGGTTTTTAAATAAAGCTGGACATTTCCCAGTACTGTAGCATATTTCTGCATGGCAGAAGATTAGACTAGATGGTCTTGGAATGCTCCTTCCAGCTGTATGATTCTATGATTCCATTATTCTTTTTTGAAACCTGTAAACTCACTAACTAGAGTTCCTTCCTTTCACTGCTCCTCCCCCCATCCCATCCCACTAACTGCATCTCTGGAATGAATAATGTTGCTGAGTCTGTTGGACTGCAGCTTTTATCTTCTAATTAGCATGCTCAGATCCATTGTGTGATTCAACATTGTATTGCATATTTCTCAGCTTTTGTAAAAAGTTAGTTCAACACATTTTGCTATCTGGGGAGAGCAGCCAATGGGGATACTTTCCTCCTCCCCATCAATAAGTATTCAGTACCAATCAAGGTAATTCAAATTGGCACATAAGGCAAAAGGGCACACACTCACTCATTACTTTTCATATGACTAAATAGCAGAGTAGATCCATCAAATCAGCCATTGAGAACACTGATATAAATCCCACTGATTAAATGTGTCTATTTCAATTGAGACTAGGAATAGGAATTAGGCCAATATCAGTAATAACAAGTATGGGGTTATTCAAATTGTGAAAATAATCCAGGTTGAATCGGGGTTGAATCTCCATTGTTCACATGCATCATTAAGCTGGGGGAGGGCTGCCAAAAAAAAAAAAAACACTTTTAATCCAGGATAATCGATATTGGGTTTTTCCCAGAGATCTGCAATCAATGCAAATCTGCAACCAAGGCAAATTCTGAATATATCTGGGATAAAACTCTGCCTGCCTTGAATGTGTTCTGAATGCTTTTGCATCATCAACTCCATCTTTATTCGAATGCTTGCATGTGTGAGCAACCAAATTCACAGAGATGCACATTGATGTGGTTCTATAGTGTGAATAACAAACCTAGAATATGTGAGTGAGATGATTCACATTGTTGCACTAAAAGAATGACATCAGATAATCTGATTCTAATAATTTGCTTCTTTCATAACAATCAAGATCAGCAACAGAGGCAGCTGCCTCACCCTACTATTGTATGACTCTGATCTTTTACTGAAAGACTCAGCTTCAAATGCCAGTGGAGGACAAGCTACGACAATGCATAAATTACAATGAACAACAGATGGCAATAAGTCTTAATAGTAATATTAATATAATAGTAATATAGTAATATATATAGTAATAGTAATATATTAAGTCTTAATAGTAATATAGGAAACTGCCTTATGCCAAGTCAAACATTATTGATCATCTAGGGTTGAAAATGTACACCATCTACAGCTTGCTCCCTCTAGAGCAGGGGTTGGCAACCTACAGCCCGGGGGCCGGATCCAGCTCCCTGAGGCCTTTGGACCGGCCCCAGGCCGGTCCTGTTGCTGCCAACAATGACGACTACAACCCCCGCCGCCACCACCCGCTTGTTTCCAAAATGGCGGCTGTGACTTATTTGCGCATGTGCAGTAGTTGGTGCATGCATGAACAAGTTGCGGCCACCATTTTGGAAAACAAAATGGCGCTCGTGACTCGCTCGTGCATGCGCAGTATGCCAGAAGTACTGTGCATGTGTGAGCGAGCAAGTGCACACATGTACAGTACTTCCAGCGCACGCGCGCACGCAATGCCATTTCCCCCCCCCCTCGGCCCACGGAAGACCTGGAGACCAGCGGACCGGCCCCAGATGAGAAGAAGTTGCTGACCCCTGCTCTAGAGGTTCAAGCTGAAACCTTTTCTAGCAAGGATTGAACCTGGGACAATCTGAACAGATACAGTGTACCACCAAGTTATACCCAAATAGCTAATGGTGTCACTAGATCTTAAAAGAACACTGACATTATGATTATAGGAGTTTACCAGTATTCCTTTAGGAATATTGGAGGATATGGCCCTTTTTGAACCAACTTGGTATAGTGGTTTGAGCATTAGATTAAAGCTCTGGAGGCCAGAGTTCAAATCTCTGTTTGGGCATGGAAACCCACTGGGTGACCTTGGGAAAGTCACACTTTGTTAGGCTCAGAAGAAGGCAAAGACAAATGTCCCTCCACCACCACCACCCCCAGAACAAATCCTGCTGAGAAAAATTCATGATAGGTATGCCTTAAGATCTTTGGGGTGAAACAGATTGATGGTTTGGAGTGGCCTCTGGTGGCTCCAGCCCCAGTTGGCCCCTGATCAGTGTGGGACCATGGTAACTGGACAGCCTGCTCTGAAAGCAGGCTGCTGCTGCAGTCCCAAATGAGCCACCAGCAAAGAGCAGACTTTCTCTGCTCTTTCTTCTAGCAGCCAAAGGCCACCTTAGGTGGTCTCAGAGTGTCCTCCGGCTGCTCTGGGGATGTATGTCATCTGCACGCTCCACCCCTGAAGCAGCCAGAAGCCGTACATTTTAGCCTGTCTTTTTTTTGGCCTCTGTAAGTCAGAAATGAATTGAAGACACACAGCAACAACAAATAACCCTTTTCATGAATGCTGGTGTATTCAGGCAGGTGTTTCTCCAGGACAACCAGGTTAGCTTGGAAAATCATTCTCCCACAGACTTTATTTCTGTGAAGAGGCATCACACAATTACCAGTATGTGGAACTATATATTTATTCCCACCTGAAACATCAGATAGTCTGCTTTACATTATTATGGTCATCCACAAGGAAGAAGCCTACATTAAAGAAGTGAATATGTGCAGGTTAAATCCTTAAAGATAATCACACTAATATGGTGACATGTATAGCATGCCTGCATATTAGCAAGACAATCTACAAATAGGGAAAGGAATATGGTTTAGATCTGTAATAACTGTGTGATGCCCCATTCATATGTATGACAAGCAAAAGGAGAGAAGAAGAGAGGCCTAAAACTAAGTGGTAGTCCCAATTACATTAAAGTCACTGAATCAATGAAGCTTTCATAAATGTTGATCTAGCAAGTTTGCACTGAGTCAGTAAGTAAAGTTAGGACTCGCAACTGGATTTAATTCAAAGGATTCAGGCATCTGGCAAGAGAAGAACCAGGTCTGGAACGTTATTTGACTGATACCTTAGATCCCTATAATAAGCTCTATTTGAGCATTTTGGAAACTGATACGGTAAGTGTGATGGGATACAGAATTTATAGGTGCACCTGCCATGTTACCCTATTGTATCTACAAAATTAGTAGGATTAGCTGATACTTTTTCCACTATTCCAACTCCTTACACTATAGATTTGTCCTTTTGCTGAGAGGTGATGCCAATGACTCACTTTCAGTTTCTTGGCTTCTTCTTCTTCTTCTTTTTTTACATTGCCAGGAATTAACATGGCACATCTCTTCATTCCTTCCACATGTAGATATTGTATTACACAGACTTCACTCTGAAGCCGGTGCTTAGAATCATAAAGGAAACTGAGTCAGCTTTGTTCTTTAGATCTGTCAAATCCTTCCAAGCCTAAGTCATAGCTAAACCTTCTACCCCCTCTAAAGAACACTGAGACCTTGCAAGTTTTAAAAATGGCACTGTCTCATACACTCAAACAGGGTATAGGGTTTTGCTTAGCTTGCATAACAGAGATGTTTTAAACATACATGCACACATAATTTTATTAATCTTATCCAATTTATTTAAATTTCAACTTCCCACAAAATGCCTGTAGATGTTTGTTCTGATCATTTTTGCTGCAAGGGGAAAAAGGTAAAATGACCAAGTAACCTGAGAAATTTCACCTTGTTTATTATAATTGTTTTGTAAAATATGTGAAGACATTGCACTTTTTTTAAAGGAATAAAAAATTCTTGGTAGGAGAGGTGCTTGAGCACATTGTAAAGCACATGCCTTTTATTCAGAAAATCACAGGTTCAGTTTTGGCCATCTCCTGTTAGGACTCAGAAAGAACTTTCCATCAAATCCTGCTGAGCCACTAAATGTTAACTGTATTAGGCTGGATATTTTTATAATCTGATAAAGTATAAAGCATCTGCCTATATTCCTGTAAATTCTATATCTACATCAACTCTATCTCCCATCTTTATCTCCCACCCCGACAAGATAGAATGATATGAGCACATGTGCAACTCGTAAAAAATAGAAAAATACAATGAATTGTACCCCACTGATGGCCAATATGGTGAATGAATGAGGGGAAGGGTATGAAAGCAGAATCTAAATGGGCATTCTTTTGAACACTCGCACTCTAGATTTCAAGTTCAGCTGCCACCTTCAAGTTGACTCATTTCCCATGCAAGCAGACTTGTCTAACTCTAGCATTTCCTTTTTCACATCCCTGTCTGCAGTTATAAGGACTTCTGTGGGAACAAAAGTAGCCGAGCAAGCTAACCAGATATGAACTTTTATTTCTATTTGCACTATTCCATAGCTTTAAACATTTCATACATTTATTCATCATTCATTATGGAAATTCTAGTAGAGAGGTTATAGTGATTTTGTCTACCTTCATCAGTCATCATCAGTGATACAGCAAATACTGTTTAGGAGTCACTTGCTGTCATATTCTTTATCAAACCTAGTTTCTAGAAATCCATGAGTGCAGGTTATGAGAAAATATGGCTCATGCAAATCCACAAAAAACTCTTTGGGATGGCCAACCAGGAAAGTCTATGTGATGCAAAGGAGATAGAAATTTTGGACCAAAATGTATTGCTTTTGACTGAATTCATTTATTTTGTCTTGACCCACTGTTGCCTTGGAGAAAGCCCCCTTTTCCTACTCTTCTACTTAATGAGCATGTTCTGCCTCCTCATTTTTATATAAAATTGTGCAATAATAATAATAATAATAATAATAATAATAATAATAATAATAATAATAATAATAATAAATTTTATTTATACCCCGCCCCTCTGAACACAATCGAGGCAGCTAACAACAATTAAAATTTATACAATATAAATACAAAGAAACCTGAGATCCACCCACCCCTTGAAAAACTATTAAACCAGCAATGATTAAAACATCTTAATTAAATAAACATAAAATAAAACTAGATTGTAGACAATTATATATATATATATATATATATATATATATATATATATATTAGTAGTGGTGGTATCCAAAATGGGGGAGGGCGAACTAAGGGAGGTTCCTGAAGCTGAGAAATCTATTCTGGAAAGGCCTGCCAGAAGAAATCCATCTTAACAGCCTTTTTTAAAAAAATTATTTTTATTAAACAAATATAAAAATTGTACATTATAGAAAAAAAACACAAACATGACAAACAAACCAATAAATAGACCATACAAAACAATAAACAATACATACTACATCTTAAACAAATAACAAATAACATTTGTTATTTGTTTATATATATATATAAAAGCAACATAACTTCTTAAGCTGTATCCGAGAAAATGTAATCAACACCAAATATATAACTCATATATTTTTCTGACAAATTCTACATCCAGAATTTAATGTCTCAAACTATCTTTCTAAGGGGAATTCACATCACCAGAATAGAGTAGTCTAAAAAAAAAAAAACCCAATATTGTCTCTTTCTCACCATTCTCAACAGTATATGTCTCATAATATATAGCTCCTGATATACTACTTATGCTATTCAACAAAATACAAAATACAGAAGTGGACCAGTTATGAAAAGAAATTAACATACAGACCATATTAAAGGTACTATAGGCTACTATAATCTGACATTTTTCATATCCTATATATTATATCCATTATTCAAGATCTTAGATTTTAATCTATAATTTGTAAAATCATTCAACTAACACTGTATATCTATATTGGTTATATGAAAGGTACTATAGGCTACTATAATCTGACATATATATCCTGTATATTATATCCATTATTCAAGATCTTAGATTTTAATCTATAATTTGTAAAATCATTCAACTAACACTGTATATCTATATTGGTTACCATTTTTTTGTCCATAAGAAATCATAAATACCAATCTTTATAAAATCTTGATAATGTCTTATTTTTAATCAAATATGATAGTTTATCCATCTCATAAATGTTATAAATTTTTAATTTCCATTCTTTTAATGTTGGTATTATTTTCTGTCTCCAATATCTAGTGTATATCATCCTGTCTGCTATTATTATTAAAAATAGCAACCTTCTTTTCCCCTTTTCCACTTCTCTGTCTTCCACAATGTTCAAAATAATTTTGGGTCTGGGCGAGTTTGCAAATTAAAAATTTGTTTTACTTCCCCGTGTATCATTTTTCAGTAATTGACTGCTACCATGCAATTCCACCACATATGCAGGTATTAACAGCCTTTTTGACGCTGTTTAGTGTTGTAATCTGATGGATCTCATCCGGCAGGCCATTCCATAATTTGGGGGCAACTACTGAGAATGCCCTCTGGGAGGTTACAGATAGCCTAGATTTTGATGGCTGGAGTAAGTTCCTCCCAGAGGACTGGAGTGCACAGGGAGGGTTGTATGGGAGGAGGTGGTCCCAAAGATAGGTTGGGCCCAAGCTATTTAGGGCTTTAAAGGTAATAACCAACACCTTATACTGGGCCCAGAAACTAATAGGCAGCCAGTGGAGGAACTTTAACACCGGAGTTATGTGGTCCCTCTTAGATGTTCCTGAAACCACTCTGGCTGCCATGTTTTGTACTAACTGAAGTTTCTGGACCAAGTATGAGGGTAGCTCCATGTAGAACACATTAAAATCTAGACAGGAGGTTACAGTGCATGCCCAACAGTCTCAAGGTCCCTTACTTTCAGAAAAGGGCACAGCTGGCATATCAGCTGAAGCTGATAACAGGCACTCCTGACCATTGCATTTACCTGATTTCTCATCAGGAATGACAAGTCAAGGAGCACCCCCAGACTGCAAACACAGTCCTTTATGGAGAGTGTGACCCCGTCCAGGACCAGAGGTTGCAGCACAATTCTTGGTTTCGGGGCTGTTACTGTGAGTACCTCCATTTTGTCTGGATTCACTCTCAATCTGTTTTTCCTTATCCAGCCCATTACTGCCTTAAGACATTCATTGAGAG